AGGTTAATGTTAGGGTAAATGGTCAGAGTTAGGCCATAAAATTACTCGAAAATGAATGGAAGTCAATCCACGGTCCCCACACGGATATAAAAATAAACCTGTGTGTGTGTTTCTGTTCATGAGTCTCAGTGTGTTCGCTCTCTCCTTACAGAGAGGATTAACCATCAGGAAGTCTCCCAGTTCCCTCTGAGCTCACAGAGGGGTAAAACAAGGAAACATCCTCTGAGACATGTTTTATTCACCCACGTCTCAGTTAATTTTCACTTCTCCACAGCCCTGATGTGCGAGCATCAACTCTGCCTCGGCCTGCCCTCCCACTGTTCACATTCCATTGTCGAGCACATGAATCAATACTCGGCACTAAATAACTGAAATTGATGCTATTGGATTTGTAGTGGGAGCGCATTGKTGGGGCCATAAGTGTAGGTGGTTTGCTTTGTTTAAAAACATAAAGGAGACGGAAATTCTCACAACTGGAGGGCAAAGCCTGACGAGAAGTGTGTGTCAGATGGAATGTCTTCAGAAGGAAGGCATGTGAGTTATTACTGATATTATTACTGAGCATCAGCTCCCTCTGCTGGATCATTCTCTCTTGTCTCACTGTTTAATGAATTCTTGTATTTATCATTTCCCTCATTTTGAAGAGCTTTTTGGGGCTGTAATTCAAAGTCTCGACTGGGGAATCATTTCAAAATGTATCCACACGCATCTGAGCTTCATTCTATTTTTGAGGATCACGTCATAAAATTTGTATTCCCCACGGTGAAGTTTCAGAGGAAAACCAGTTCAGCCTAGTGCAGGCAGAGTTCTTCGTCCTCTCGCTGCCACTAATTGATGGGTTGATTGCAGGTTCAGTTCACTGCTGCAGCAGCTGATTGTGAACATACAATGTTGTGGCTGAAAGTGTTGGAGCATATTTTCTCAGAAAAATGCATATTTCTCAATATCACAACATCATTTAGAAGAGAGGGAAACAAAACACTTTGTATAAACTCAAACCAAGCAAAGAYAGACATTCATTATCAGAGACACAAGTTTATCTTCAGCTTTGTTGTTTTCAGACATTATCATAAGACATTTGATTGTTTGAAGAACATTTTGTGGTTTGAACACCTCTAATAGAGGCTTTTTTTCAAATTTGTTTTCCTTTACATGTTTTAGAGTATTTGATTATTTTAAATTCACCTCATGTATAATTTCTTGAAGTCATCACATTAATAACACYGTTATGTACTTTCTATCATGACATCACCCTCTAGTGGATATAAGAATTATGACTCAACCAAATGATGTGAATTTTAAGGGGAAAAAAAAGTTAAAATGGTTGAATGATTAAGCCAGGGTGCCTGGTAACATTTAACACTTTACCATTCTGAGTGTCTGGTTTCTTAGATTATTAATCTATCCATCATTTTTCATTAACTGTTTTCTAGGTCACGGCAAGCTGGTGCCTATCTCCAGCTGTCATGGTGCAAGAGGAGGGGTATACCCCCCCAAAAAAAATAAAAATAAAAAAAGGCTGCAAATCCTTCATAGAGCCACATGGAGATAAATGAGACAAACAACCATTCATGCTCTAGTCTAGGGACGTTTTAGAATAACCACTTAACCTAATGTTTTTAGTCTGTTGGAGGAAGACCTGAGAACCTGGAGAAAACCCTTCAGTGCACAGGGAGAACAAAGTTCGCACAGAAAGGCTGGGAGGTGATCCTGTGATCTTCGTGCTGTGAGGTRATAGTCTAACCACTGCTTTGTCATGCTTTCTTATAAAATATGAAAAAAATAAATAAATACAAAATCTTAAACATATTATAAAACTGCACTTTTAATTATCTCAAGCAGGTCTAAAGTCTCCTTAATGACATGTTCTGACAAATAAATAATGAGCTCTTAATGAAAGATTGGCCTGATCTACTTATGTTTCATATTACGTCTGGCACAAGGTTCTGCCAAACTGTACAGTTTGTGATTTATGCCTTTCTGATGATCCATATATGTCTGTGTTCACATTTTGATGGGTGCGATAAAACCAGACAGTAAAATTGTGTCGGCGCTTTATAGCCACAGCTGGCATTACACAATAGAAGAGAGGAAACTTTGATGACCTACAGATATTTGGAGAGAGTCTTTGTGAGCCAAATTGTGACTGACAAGCAAGATAGAGAAAATTTGTGTTCAGTACGGAGTCACAAACTGACATCCCTGCAACCCCATCAGCCATCATCAGCTTCAGAAATTCCTTTGTTTACATTTTTGTAAAATCAGGCATGATTGATGGGTCCCATCGGGGACATGGCTGAAAGTTTGACTGTTAAAATGGGGTTTAATTAGCATGTTAAAACAGTATAAACACTGCATTAGTGTTCTGATTACAATCAAAACTGTGTGACCAGTTTTATTTAGAAAAGCAAGAACAATTTATTGGCTGAATTATAGAGTCGTCTTTCTCGTGGTTTAGATAAATACAGTTTCACTCATTGTTTATCAGATTCTGAAAATCTTAAAGTTGTGGCATATTTGACTTCGCAGAGTTTGTATGGACATTTGGATGGAGAAAATAATTAAAAGGTTCTGGGAAAAGGGTCTTACAAGCAGCATGGCAGATGACTCACAAGAACCTGAAGGTCTTGGATTGAGTCGCCACTTTTCTGTRGGTTGCTGTAGATGTGTTTTGTTCACTCTATAGGGTGGATTTTATTTTGTTTGTTTGTCATTTGTGATGTGTTCTAGGATTGATCAGAAAAAGGCACTTAGTCAGTTTGAAATCACTGATTTTTACTGGAAATGAAAATTTGATCAAAGCAAAAAAATGTCCCTTTTATGTTTTAATTTGCTTTAATTTTGCATTGATTTTACAGGAAACAAAATTAATTTAACATATTATGTGCATTACCAATAATATATTTTTTTAACAGATGGTTTTTTTTTATATTTTTAATTTAATTTGATTTATTTACTTTAAGTGTCTAAAATGATCTTGACTGACTCCCGTGTGAAGCCTGAAGAAATAATACCGTGTCTGCACTTTTATTCTCAGAACCACGCAGTAATGTGACCGTATGCCCTGGAGCATTAAGTGACGATCCATTTTTAACTGACAATTATTTAAGTGAACACTGGATGGCATTGTTGCTGTTCAGGGAACCCAGCAATTTSTAGCAGYGCTTCATTTTTCTTCCCAATCTCAGGGGAGAGGTATCATCTGTGTATCATTGTTGTAAGGGATTACATATTCAGAATTAAACGTTTGATATATTCATGTATTTTTTGGTGTCRTTTCACTTCAGAGAACATAATATACAATGCATAAGGATGAATTAATACAATTTTTAAAATAAATAATCCAATGACATGACAGAAATCATCAAAGATTTAATATTTCAAAGCGATGCACCTCTGTTTAATCTAAAAGAACAAAAAAGAAAAAAGAAAACATTTATTCTGTGAAATAGAGCTGTTTGTTTGGACTTTTATATAATTCTGTGAAAGTCACAGGGAGGTCAGACAGCTGACATTAAATTGTTTTATCTTTGGCACTTTAATACAATATGTTGTCTTGAATCTTAAAAGACTGTTCTGCTTTAGGTCTATTTCATTTGTTTGTTTTGTTTTAATGAAGCAAGTAGAAAATATGASCAGAATACTGTCCATATGATATTATCTGTTATAGCTTACTGGTTCTGTTTACACACTTTTCCCAACATGCACTTGTTTGACAGCTATCCTGGAAAAGTGGACAAACTAGATTTTCCAGCCTGACTCTGTTACGCCCCGAGCACCTTTATTTGGACACCAGACACCATAGGTCATCACTGTCACTGCTGATTACAGGACATCTTCCCGCAAGTAATTTCACCTGGAAGCGAGATTAAGAGTGAATGCATTACAGAGCTTTTTTTTTTTTTCTTTGCTGTTCCTCCATAAATAAACATCAGCAACTGAACCCAAGCAAATGGAAACAAACTATTCCAGGAGCCACGAGTCTGCCGCCCAGAAGTCTACTTGTTCTGTTTTTAAATCAAACAACAGATTTCTAAGTGCTAAGTTCAACATGTCTCTTTACTTTTTGCCTTTTAGGCCTTTTTTTATGCACTGCAATACATAAAATAATAATATTATGTGTTTGTGTTTTAGGTCACATTTAAAAATTGAATCACTTTCAACATAATTGCATTATATAACATTCAAGTAAATTTTGTTAAAAGAGAGAGCTGTTATTATCTTAAGGGAATTGAAATGTTTGTGAGACCCTGGGTTCGTACGAGCCAGAAGGAGCAATGCACTTTAATCCAGGGAATAAGATTATGGAACAGCATGGATGATGAGGTTAAAAATGCCAGATCCTTGTATATATTGAAGAGAATGATAAAAACTAGTATTCTGAAGAAATATGGAGAATTATAAGTGAATTCATGATAATTGCTGTTTGAGTTGG